GTAAGCAGGTTTTACTTAATTTTTACCAATGCCAGCAGTCCACTGGATTGTATTACAGTGATTTTTCAAGGACTACACAGCAATTTGCAGGAAAAACATCAGACCAACATTTCAACCAAAGCCTCTAAGAGAAACTCCAACATTATACTAAGAAAAAGAAAACAGCTAAAGTCCCACCTGAACAAATAACCCAAATCCAAAAAACTACTGAATGGATAAAATGTATTCATTTGCCAAGTGATGAAATATAATAAAAATGTGAAATTAAGTACTTAAAGCTACTAAATAGTCATAATTGTTATACACCAAGACTATTTTTTAGTCTAAATACCATATGGGTGGATGTGTTTTTCTTTCATTTAATGGAAATAAAAGTCATGCTATGTCAGCATACAGACTGCTCAACAAATCAAGGAGGTTAGTTAAATACATGTTAAAATGTTGAGAGAAAAAAGACATAACATATTTAGACTCCCTGCAAAGTTGCTCGGGAAAAAAAAAAAAAAATCATGTAGTTTACAGAAAAAAAAATCAAAGGAAATTAGAAGATATGATGAATTTATTAAGTCAGTCAAAATGTAAAAAGACAATATGAAAAATAAAAGCAAACACCAAACTAAGATTTCAGAAAAAGAATTAAGAAAAAAATAGTAACTATCCATGTACAAGTCTCCCTCAGGAAAGTATACAAGGATGAATAGAAAGATTATAATACAAAGAAAAATACTGAAAATATTAATTCTGCAGCTATCTTACTCAAGGGTGATTTTTAAGTTAAGCACAGATACCACACTGTCTTACTAAGAACTCAAGAAGTCTTGCAGAACATGTTACTTCTGAAAAACCAACCGGGGGTACACTGTAAAACTAGAGAACTGCAAATTTGACAAATGTTAAAGAAAAAGAACTCACAGCAGAATTTACTGGCATTAAATCTGATGTTAGGCTGCCCTCTTCAAACATGAATTTGAAGGATTCATGTCCTTTCTTGAATAACTACTTCAGTATTGGTAAACCATCATGAAGAGTGAAACTACTGCAGTATGAGGCAATCTATCAATAATTAGTGTACTGAAGTGTAATGGTATCAGGCATTAACCCACTTCTGAGTAAATGCTCATCACAGCCCATTCTTAGTATGGATGCTCCTATCCAATGAGAAATACGCACATCTGATGGACAAGTCTGTCAAACTGCTTTTGAAATAGTTCAAACTGCCATACTTGGACCATAAGATTCCCTTCCTCCTTTCCTCCCATTGCTCAAAATAGAAAAGATAAAAAATGCCACCTCTGCTTGTTTCCACTGTAGATCTTAGAATGACATTATGGTGATAAAATTTTTTTAAAGAACACATACATAAGAAAAGCAAAGCTCAAGTCATTCTTAAAACATTTATGCTAAATTCATATCTGTCACCTCCTGAGCTGTCCTCCATTAAAGGTGAAAGACTTTCCCAAAGCCTGGGCTTTGGAACTTTTTTCCCCCCTCACAGGCCATACTCATTCCACTGGCTTGTGAAATGTGGTACTTCATTTTAAAATTGATTCTGTACCTTCTTACATGGCTACAATGCATGAGTCAGAAATAAACAGCAGCTCAGAGACAGAGGATTAACCTCCTTGCAGCAACATTAGATTAAGTGGCAGCATATAATCAAACCATAAGGATAAGTCAAGAACTTCAACACACCTAGCAATGCAGAAATGCCTAAAGCTCACAAAGTACGTGCATATTTCACAAATAAATCTGGACAGGCTTGGCTGACATTGCTGCGTAGCTGTAGTGACTGCAGAATATACTGAATAACCTGCATCTCAGATGGCTCTCTTGTAGCCATACACCTCTCTTTCTAGAAAGTCAATGTATGCAAAATAGAAAACTACAAAATTAGAATTGTAGCACTCAATATGCTGCATTAGTACAACTGATCTTATGTCACAAAGCCTGTGGGGACACAATGTGTCTCAATAAAAAAAAAAAAATTGAAAGTGACTCCTGGAGAACTCTGGCTTGTACTATTTTAAAACAGATCAAATCCTACATCATTTTGAGGAAAGCATTACTCATTCAGCAAAGTAGCAACTTTTTTGTTAAGATCTGGCAGGACAAGGAAGGAATAAAACAAGTAACTCCCAAAAGGCAAACGATTCTACTAGAACACAAACAGAAATAAACTATAGGCTTTCCTGTGTATGCAAATTACTTTGGTATTGAACAGCATGCGTAGCTTGAAGGTTTCCTTCTTGTGGCTTCAGACCTATAATTTGATTAAGCCAGTTCTCTAAGGCTTTCCTGGTTTTCAGAAGAAAAAAATCTGTACTCTGAAGTAGCATATCAATGAAATCAAACACCTTACCCTAGCAACTGGAAGTGTATCAACATAATAACCCATACAGTGATAACTGAAGTCACAGTGAAGTATTTAATCCTGTAAACTATCAAATGAACATAACAAGTGATAGAAAAATTGAGGATATGACAAGAAAACGCTTTCCCAGTTCCCCTGTGTAAATTACAGCAATTTGCTTTTCTACTTCACACTTCAGCCGTGGAAACAGGAAATACAGCACAATTCCTTATGCAATAAGGAATTCTGAACTCTCAGACCACTATCTCAATGCAGGCCCACAAAAGTAAATAGCCAGAGCAAGAAACAGCCCTCTGCTTTATTTTAAAAGCATTCATAAATCTCTCCTTGCCTTGAGGACAGCACTTAGTGCTCCTAAAGCTCAGGCCATCACATCATTAATTCTATCTCACCTGCCTCAACAAATATTTCTAGAGGGATAGGTGGTAACTAAGAAGTACACGCCCCAAAGGCATTACCACAGGCAGAACTGAGAAATTGTTTTACCTCTTAACAGGCAAACAATAATGCAATAGACAAACATATAGTCAAACACAGCAGAAAAAGTAAATACCCACTTCATTCCCTGCAAACTAACTTTAGTGAAAGTAGACAGTAGAAACTTGGGTCAAACCAATGCACTGAAGATGAGTCACAATTCACCTCATCAAAATTTTTTTGCCTCCTCTTTTATAATCATTCAGGGAGGGACTCTGCTTAGTTAGCTAATTTCCCCTTTTAGGGTCTTTTTCCAATAGAAATAATTTCAGATTTGCTTTGTCTGAGGTTCCAGCTTCAGGGCCTTGGGATATCAAAGTAAGCTCAGCCATTTTAGATAAGCCACTGTAGTCCTGACCTGTCACTGTCTAATAATCATAACACTTAAATGATGGTAGAAAAAGTTTAGTGTAGCTGTACAAGCTGCACTATGTTACACTGCAGGGAAAGGCTGTAAAAGACTGCTTACCTTACCAGAAATCAGTGTTCTTCAATACATACAGTCCCCATGTTCACAGCTGTGCCTTGAAATCACCTCTCCTTTGCAGACGTCAGAGCAGATACATTTGCCCCCTTCTTCTCCTGCTTTGTATACATTATCAGGACAAAACCATCCTACTGCTGCATTTCAAATCCTCAGTGGAGATTTGTATTTAAAATTCTCTCCTTCCTCCTCCCCTCCCACCAAAAATAAAAAGCCTGAGTACAGGTGTAACTGTAGACTACACATCCCAAATAACATCTAACTTCAAGTCAGATACTACTGTCTAGCAAATGGGCTTTCCCAATGCCCATTAAAACATCACAGGCATTGTATTTACCCAAAATAAAGGTCTCAGCAATTCTCCTGGCCTGAGCCAATTTCACTTGTGGTAATGACTGCCTAGAAGTCAGATGACAATTCCCTAGCCTGTTTTAGGTTCGTTCTAAGGGTATCACATATGCAAAAATCTGACAAACTTATGTAGTCACTGCTTAACAAGCAGTTTATGTGTTAACTGAAGCCAGGGGAGGCTAACTGTGAACTTTGACTAATTGTTAACAGGTGAATACAGTCAAACTTTACCTGGGAACCAAAAGGAAAACCAAGTAAGAAGACTGTTACAAACCAGAAAAGTGCTGTAAACATGTTAGAAAAGGAAAATGTCATGGCAGTGACAGTACCCCACTGCAAACCAGTATCAGCAAAAAGGCAGAGAGAACTTGCTTCACTTCCAAGAAAGAGCCACACAGCAGTGCCATGAGTTTCTGATACCTCATCAGATGGCACAGAAAAGTAGAGGGGGAAAGAAGCTTGACTGGAAACCCCCTTCCTATCTCACTATAAATGAAATGAGGTCTAATCAGATTTAACCAAGCTAGCCAAACCAACTATCTCTGGAAGCAGAGAGTGCCTTCATGACGCAGGCAAGTAAGCAGCTCTCACCCATACCTTATCCAAGGTTTGAGCACACAGAAGTGGTGCCACTTCACTGCCAAGGAGGTGACTTTTGAAACCTCCTAAATCAGAGGGGTTAGGAAAAATCATGGTCATCTGCAAAGGCTTGTACCAGTAAGTGTTCAGTACGAGCACATTCTGCAGTTCTGTCTTCACACAAGTTAAATAAAAATATATTAATAGAATCAAGGGCCACACTTGTGTTAATGAACAAACAACTTGTTATATTTGCTTGTTGTATCATATTCAACTTGTAAAAGCACACATTCAAGGCTAAGGTGTAAACCATTGGTATCATCACCATACTCAATCTGCATCAGTTTGATGTACGTGGCATTACGCCTACTTGGCATACATAATGAAGACATCTGGGAACCACAGCTTATTTGAGAAGCCATTTACTCACCACCCCCAACAACAATAACAAATGCTACATAAGCTCAGAAAGAATGCACAGATTAAGTTCACCGATTTGAGCATTTTAACTTATACATATATTACCCTTAACAATAGCGAATGGTATTTTATCCCATTTTCCATATTAAAGTTTTCCACTTCTATAAAACTTTATCATAATTTTTACTAACCACATTAAGTCATTCAACTACACCTTTCACTTTGTGTGCTTTCACATAACTAGTATACTTCAGTTATTTTAGTGAATATATATCTCCATACCCTGGGGCTCTATTCACATTAATCTTTAACAGGTGAAGTCAAAATAAAAAAATTTCAGTACAAAAACAAATTAGATGTTTAGGAGTCTGTCTCTGGTGTAGTTTCCAAGCTTTTTGTTTCACATCCTCTAGAATGTTTCAAATCATAGGCCCACACAGTGTCTATGCCCTCTCCAGTAGTATGATCTGGGACCCAGCAAGGAAAAGGAAAACGACAGGCAATGATTCTGGCGTTACATTCAAGTTCTTCTTCTAGCTTCTCCTTCAACTGTGGCATCTGTTGAGCAATAATAAAAAGCTTTCAGAAGCAATAAAAAACAGAAGCATTCTCTTTAGAATCTAATTCAAGTGTTCAAGAGAAGTCCAAAGTTTGAGGAATTTTCAGAAAAAAATTGAGGAAAGTGTTCATTATATATGTTTTGGCTTTGATGCACTGATAAAGAATAGCTAAAACTAGAAAATGGTTGTTGTGGCCTGATTGGTAAGATCACAAAAATCATAACTCTTAAATTCTAAGAATTCAATCAAAAAGCATATATAATCCCTTAGATAAAAAAACTCCACAAATTAAGAAAACACTTTGCATGTTCCAATTCATGATTCTTTTCGGTGGGATTCTTCTCTGTAAAGAGTAAGAATTCAGCCCCCTGAATTTATGCTCTTTATGACATCCCAAGTCACATGAACTATTCTGTGGTACTCAAAGGCCAACACCTCTTAATTTCCAGCCTAACCCCAAAACAGACCCTGAGACACTCAAAACATCATATGGCCAACAACCCAAAGCAAACATTCTGCTGTCACTTGTAGGGTAAAGCACTGTTGTGTTAAATACTAATGAAACTGAGCTTTGCTGGCTCCAGCCTGTTAACATATTCATGTCTGTCCCTGGAGCAGTACTGTGCAAAAGAGCATCTAGAAACATAGAATGGTTTGGGTTGGAAGGGATCTTGAAAGATCATCTAGTCCAACCCCCCTGCAGTGAGCAGGGACATCTTCAACTAGATCAGGTTGCTCACAGCCCTCTCCAGCCTGACCTTTAATGTTTCTACAGATGGGGCTTTTACCACCTCCCTGGGCATCCTGTTCCTGTGTTTCACCACCATCATTGTAAAAAATAAATTATTCCTTATATCTAGTCTAGATCTTACCCTCTTTTAGTTTAAAACCATTACCCCTTGTCCTATCACAAAAGGCCCTATTAAAAAGTCTGTCCTCATCTTTCTTATAGGCCTTTAAGTATTGAAAGGCCACAATAAGGTCACCCTGGAGCCTTCTCTTCCACAGGCTGAACAGCCCCAACTCTCTCAGCCTGTCCTCATAGGAGAGGTATTCCAGCTCCCTGATCATTTTTGTGGCCCTCCTCTGGACCTGCTCCAACAGGTCCATGTCTTTCCTCTGCTGAGGACTACAGAGCTGGACATATCACTCCAGGTTAGGTCTTACCAGAGCAGAGGGGAAGAATCACCTTCTTCAGCCTGCTGGCCACGTTTCTTTTGATGCGGCCCAGGATACAGGCTGCAAGTGCACACTGCCAGCTCATGTCCAGCTTTTCATCCACCAGTACCCCTAAGTCCTTCTCAGTGGGGCTGCTGTCAATCCTTTCATCCCCCAGCCTGTACTGATACCAGGGTTTGCCCTGACCCAGGTGCAGGACTCTCCACTTGGCCTTGGCACTCAGCTTGGTGCTGTCTGCAAATTTGCTGAGGGTGCAGTTGATCCCACTGTCTATGTCACTGATGAAGATATTAAACAGTACTGGTTCCCGTACGGATCCCTGAGGGACACCCACTTGCCACCAGTGCCCATCTGGACATTGAGCCACTGGCCATGACCCCCTGGATGCAACCATCCAGACAATTCCTTATCCACTGAACAGTCCACCCACCAAATCCATACCTCTCCAACTTAGAGAGAAGGATGTTGTGGGAGACCCTGTTGAACACCACTATGCAACCTCCAGTCTAGCTTTCCTCCATTCACAAAAACTGAGCAGATATGAAAGCCAAGGGAAATACAACTACTCCTCCAGAACAGAGCAGCACCCTGCCCAGTCAGATATGCTGTCTCCAACAAGTACTTTCAAATTCTGCTATGGATTAAGTAAGAAATTAATTAACACATCTAGACTTCAAAGAAATTTCTTTTCCAATCCAGATCACAGAATCACAGAATCACAGAAATTAATTAACACATCTAGACTTCAAAGAAATTTCTTTTCCAATCCAGATAGTGATTATGTTCTGAAAAAAAAAATGCAACTTGATAGATTTATCGAATTGAGAAGAGCCTGGCTCCATCCTCATGATAGTGATTATGTTCTGAAAAAAAAAAAATGCAACTTGATAGATTTATCAATTTTTATCCTTTGGAAAAGTTTGATGTTATGCTTAAGTAGATCAGTGAACACCCATTTGGAATTCCTTTTATTCTTACATACTGTATCTATCTCAGGGAGTAATTATAACAGCAAGTTCCACAGGTTACTTCTTTTTCATGTAAAAATCTATTTGCTTTGATATCATGACATAGCATTTAGATATTGAAAGGTGAAAACAAATACAGCTCAATTTAAGTCACAAAGGACACAAAATAAATTAAAAATTCACAAAAAAAAGAAAAAAAACCACAGAACATTACTAGAAAACAAGACTGACTGCAGAAAATGTATTTCCAAAGCCTACAGATAGCTTCCACTATCACATACATTCAGGCTGTACCTTTGATGTAACATCCTATTATAGCTACATTTAAGCTTACAATGGAATATTTTAGGAAAATTATAGTCATAGATCTAACATATCAAAGAGTTACCTCTGAATATTTTTAAGCATTCTATGCTCTGATTTCATCCATGCAGCAAATGCTTTTAAAGATTTTTTTTGCTACCACACCTCGAATAAACTAGAAAAACAAGCCAATTTTGGCATCTCTGACTGAGCTGAGACACCAGAAAAGGAAGGACTAAGTTGTCACAGAAACAGACATCACAAAGATAAGACACAGCCTAATTTTAAATGAGTAATTATGAAAGTTACTGACATCTCATGTCTATATTAGCTTGAAGTAGAGAACTTCATTAATAGTTCAGCCAAAAAGAATTGTACCCTTGAACCAAAGAGTTGAACTAGTTTTTAAGCTAAATCTCTCAGTAGCATTAGGTGTTATAATCATGCTGTATTTTATATCAAGCCAGGGTTGCGGTTTTTTTGTATGTCCATATAGATAAACAGTTTAGTAAACCTTTTGTACAGTACATGATTAGTTAAAATACACAGAAGCTGCAAATATGAACACCTGCAAGGAATTCTGTCATCCCACCCTGAACAAGTAAAAGTCTCTCTGCAATGACTCATAGACAAACACCTTCCCCCAGAAGCTTGCAAGAACAGAGAGGTCTCAGTCTTCCCCGAAAGATCAATAAATCCAAGCTCTGTAAGCTAATCTTGGGTATGAAATAAAAGCACTGTGTGACAGCATCAAATCAGAGCTGTATTATTAAAAAAGCTAGAGATCTATTACCCTCAGTAAAAAAGACAAAATGCATTAAAGTTTCTAGAAAATCAATTTGTCATTCAGGAGGCTAAGCATTCACAGCTTCCTGAGAAAATTTAAAGGGGATCATGACCAAACTAACGCTCAGGAAACACAGCAGTTCACGTTTGGATCTGTTACAATTATGACAGTATTTTTATTGGAAGAATTTAGCCTAGTATCTACTGAGTTTACTGAAGTTACTCCGAGCCCTATAGCTACTCTTTCTATCATAGGTGTTACTAATTTATCCCACTTTATACCATTACATTTAAAGTTAAGCCAGTATTTCTGCTAGGTTGACTCACATTTTCCCAGGGCATTTGTTTATTTCAAGTTTACAGAAATATCTTTCTTCACCTGCATTCTTCCCCTCAGTGTAACTGCAGAGTTTCTGACTGCAAATTCAAATATTTATACTGCCCTCTCCCGGAACCCAGATAGAGAGCACACAACATCCAAACCTGGCAACATCTGCAGCACAAGTAACATCACAGCTCTCACTAATACGCCACCCACAAGAGTAGGGGAAAAATGCATTTTCACTTCAGTTGCCAACATGAGTTACAATCTGAATCTGAAGCAGTTATTTAATTCCAATGCTGCTAAAGAAAAAGTAAAGAATAGGGAAGCTTTATTATGCTTCTTGTTGCATCTTCCTGTTACCACTACAGAAATATTATCAGTGTATGTTGTACACTAGAGCATCACAAAAAGCTCTTCGCTCATTTCATCCCACACCTGGCTTAGCAGAGGAAGAAGCAATACAGAAGCATTTATAGGATATTTCTGTTTCACTCCTCCACATGCATTCAATCTATAGAGCAGATTCTAATAATAAATCAAAATGCCAAGAATATTTAAATATTTAAGGGTTTTTTCTCTTTTCTAGTAAAAAGACAAAAAGAAAATTAGATCAGGCCTAAAGCCAAAGCGAATGTAACGTCTGACTGAATTTATCAAATATATCACTAGACAGCCACTAGACAACTCAAGTTCTACAGCAATTTTGAAGAATGCATTTTTCCCAGGGACATGATGAACATCAGCTACAAAACCTTCCTAAAAGGCAAAGAATTTGTGCACTTGTACTCTAACAATTATACATGAAGTATCTGTCTCCCTTTCTAAGCCCTCACAGACTAACACAGGCAAGGGATTATTTCAATACCAGCTTCTGGCCTACTTGAGGTGATCCAGTTTTTGGAGAAGACCATAGGCAAAGTTCAATACTCTCCTCCAACAAGGTTCCCAAGAAAGTCAGCTGTAGCCAAAATCCTCCTCCATCTTCTCCCTGCAAACCCCTGGGTTTTTTCCAGTACGAAAAACTGAAGTTTTCAAGACCCAGTCTACCATCTTTTCTCCAAGCAACTTGAGCACAGTGCTTTTCATTTCAGCTCTGAACTAACAGACAGAATATAGCTCTCAAAAAAAGCCCTTGTATATTTTCAGAGGTCCAGTCTGTAGACTGTCACAAGTTTTACCAGGTTTTATCATGGCCATTAATAAGCAACAATGAAATATGAAAATATTAGTACTTACTACCTTTGACATTCAGCAGGTTGGTACATTTTGCAGTTGAATGTACTAACACTGAATGCCTTGGTATTCAAATAATTAAACAATGCAAAAATAGTAAACTTACCATTTGAGGTACCCCAAAAACAACAACATTTGCATAATGGGAAAAAGAAACCTAAAATAAAATTTGAGAACAAGTCTTAATGAAAATGGCACTTATATTTGGAAAAGTTCTCACCATTCTTTTCCCCTAACAGCTCTAGCTGCACTCCTTTCAACAGGGATTTAGACCAAAAATAAGAAAGGAAATCCCATATCAACTTTGCATCACACAAATTTCCACATAAAGACAAGTTTATATTGCTGAACAGCAAAAAACTTCTACTGCCTGGACAAAAATATGGCACCAATTATAGCAGCATAGAAACTATTGATTTAGAAAATACCTACATGATTTTACTCATGGTTAAGTTTTTCCACAACTCCTGTATAGGTTAAAATGAGATAAATCTTTTAAGTTTGCCCCTACTTTTGTTAATTGTTCACTAGCTACAAAAACTTCCCAGGCATTCCCATGCGTGAGTTCCTCCAGTCAGTGCCAGGAAGTTTTCCTATGCTCCTCTCTGAACAAAGATAAAAACAGTACATTCACACTTTCCCCCCAAATTCCTGGTATCCACTTCACCCATTACAAAATGCCATTCTTAAAAAAACCCAAAAACCAACAAACAAACCCCCACAACTTTAACAGAAATAGCAGGGGAGAGGCCCACATAAATATGACCCCCCAAAAATGCATGCCTCCTTAAAGAAGCAATTGTCACTCAAGTGATTAAAAATTGTGACAAAATCTCGTAAGTCACATGTATGTAAGTCACCTTAAACTAACACTCAAAACCAGCTAACACAATGCACAGTTAGAAAAACACACATCTAATGAAACATCAGATGAGTTTGTGATTTTGCACATGAGGTGAACAAGAGACTTGTTACTGACTCCACAGAATCAGCTCTCAGTGAAGCCTGACACTACAGCAGCCCAAAGGATGCATCAGGCACAAGCATGACAGTGTGCTCGAGGAACCTGTCCTGAAAAAGGATTTCACTGAAGCACAAAACCAGCAGAGCAGCATATTGTGCTATGAGCCCAGTTTCTATAGGCTCAAGTACTTTTCTCAAAGCCCAGTACAGCACCTTGTGGCCAGACAGCATGCTGGTTCTTCCCAGAAAGTTTCTCCAAACTATGGAAATCTCTCAGACATCCCAGATTCATTTTTTCTTACTTCACCACCTACCTTCCATAAGTCTGAAATATAAAATTTGGTGTTCTGATGTACCCCATCTCTCCAGGCACGGTATCTAGAGTACCAAACTAGCCAGGGATTTAATTCATAACCAACAGCTTTGAATCCCTTTTTTGCAGCTGCTATCACCTGCAAGGAAGAAAATAAATTTCCACTTAGAAACAGAGAAAGTGTATTAATCTAAACAGGAGGACATAGCTTTACTTACAATATAAATCAAATAATGCACTTTTGTTAGTCACTCAAGTTTTAAATCCCAACAGATTAGTAGCATAGCAAACAAAAACTCAGACTACATTTTACTATTATGATTAGTCCCACTGAAATTAATAGATATATTCAGATTAACAAAATGAACCACTTAAAGATTCACAGGGCAAAGCTGTAAGCTTGTAGTATGTCTGATTTCCATAAAAGCTTAATTTAACATGACACTACCTTGGAATTAGAGAGTACAAAATTGACCATAGAGAGAACAGTGAAATACACAAGCAGAAATGCTCAAAATCAGAGCACCTATTTGAAAAGCAGTGAGGGGTAAGCACTTGAGAAGCCTGAATCAGAGCCAAAATGACCTACCAAAAGGAAGAGTGTGAAAGTAATCTGTTGACCTACATTTAAAAAAATGCAGGTCAAAAATTTAAATGTAGGTTAAAAAAAATTTAAAACTTCCACACATAAATCTCACAGGATAGCTTCCATCCAGTGCTAAGCTCCATAAATCATTTATAAGGCAAAAGGTAATTCAGATAACAAACAGATTTTCATCATAGAATAGTCTGGTTGGAAAAGACCATTACGACATGTTCAGAGACATTCCTCTAAATTAGACCCAGAGACTTAGAATTGTTACACTTGTCTTCAACAAGATCAAAGCCTACTAATTTTTTAGAAAAAAAAAAATAATGAAAATACAAAAATGCACCAGTTTCTAGATTTAAGGTTTAAGCCATAATTTAAAAGGTTACTGCCACTTTCAATCGTGAAAAGCCTGATGAACTACGAATTACAGAACAGGCAAGGTGAAATCAGGAAGAAGTACAAATTTCTTAACAGAACTTCTCAAACAGCATTACCCAGACAGTGTGTTTCACATTACTAAAATAATGCATCTTCCATAATGCACACAGCAGTTGCAGATATACTAAGAGAAACTGACATTTTTACCAAGCTTGGAAATAAAAACATGGTCATATTTATCCACTGATTACACCTGAGTAAGTCCCAAATATTTAAAAGCATCTGAACAGAAGCTCAACTTTTTTCAGGACAGATGCACTAAGGCAACACCAAATACTCCATTTTAGGCACCTGGCTCTCCAAGTAGTTTCCAGTCTCCATTTAGGCACATATATATTTATATAAAATCAGAATTAAACACACAGTACCTAGTCAAATCAGGTGCCTCAGATGAGGGTCAACAGCCAGAATGCTGAGCAGACAGCACCAGAAACTGCAGTTCTTTTGTACCAATGTGCTTTCCCTGTCACCTACTTGGGCACAACTCCTTCTTAGCCACCTCTGCAGATCTGGATTTGCAAATCAAATCTTTTAGTGGGGACAAATGGTTGACTCATTCACATTAAATATGGACAAAGGTAGCACTGAAGAACTTGCTTGTCCCCATCAAAAACCCACTTAGCGCGCAATCCTGTTGCTAAAACCAACTTGAAGGTGACCATTATGAAAAGGTACACAAAACATCACAACTACAAAAAACCCCACACCATTCTCCACTGTACCTTCACCACCACATTTCGCAAACTGGGGTTCAGACAGTGTCCTGCAAGCACAATATCTCTTGGCTTTGGTGATTGTCACCACTTCTTCTGGTAATCATTCTAGTTTCACCACACTGATCTGGAAGCAGGGCAGCCAGCACGGCACAAAGTTGTGAAGACTGCAGTTCTAACAACAGCAGGATTTTTTATTTCTGGAATACATCACTCATTTTTCATTTTCTTTTGTTCTTCTATCCCCTTTACACAACAAGCATAGAGCTGCAGCTCCTAAAGCACAGTGCTCTTCAATCTCAGAACCTCACGTGCTGCAGCTATAAACCTATGTGGAATCACAGCTCTTTGGGAATCACAATACCAATACTTTGATTTCACCTTTTCTCATGAATGCAGTGCAATTCCCTCCAGCCAACAGGATGAGATCATCATTTTCTACGCTACCTTGTCAAGCTGCAGGTAAGACTGCAATAAAAATACTGATTACTCACCTGAACTGAATGCAAACCTTTCTCAGCTGTGAGCTTTTTCGTAAGACTCAAACAAAAACACTGGCTGCCAGAGACTTCCATAAATATGAGAAAACTGCAGCCACAGCTAGAGCATTTGGCACATTTTTCAGAGGCAATACAGAAGGAAGGTAATGTCTGTAACTTACAATACGGCCATCCCCACTACCAATGTCAACCAGGGAGCCACTTCGGTTTTCTAACATTTTCAGCACATTTTGGATCTGAGTGGAAGTTGCAGGAACGAAGGGCAGGCACACTTTCCTCAGAGCTGGAGTCACAAAGGGGGTGACCACAGCATAGAGGGCCACCAAAGCCCCACCGACACCAGTGGTGACCACCAGCCCCCAGCTCTTCCTCCTTGAGCTGCCTCCGCAATCCTCTCGCGGGCCTGCTGCGTGGCTCTCGCTCACTGGCATCTTGGACACCACACCTAGGGACAGATGTTTAAAAGAGCATTTTCTCCAATACCTTTTTTATGTGCTCACTTAAAACAAAGAAGTATATTGTATTAAAGAGATAAGACATCAGGAATAAACTTACACCCCTTTAGCTCATCCCTAGACCCTAGGGAAACATTACTATCACTGCTTTTGAGAAGCTTTATTTTTAAAGAAGGTTAATTTTTCAGGGCATGAAAGCAGTTTCAATTGAGGCCCCATAATTCTTCCCACCTGTGGCCTGGAACAGCTCACAGAACCACAGAAGGGTAGGGGTTGGAAGGGACCT